TTAAGGCAAGAAACCAGTATGAGGTTGAGCTTTTAGTTACGAAGTAACCCGATTGAGATGTGAGAAATGTGGTTAAAAATTAGAGTGATGTGTTAATAGCAAGGTTACCGGTATAAGCCAATGACGTGGAGAAAAGCTAAAGGACTATTATATATGAAAAGTTGGAGCTAAGCTCATGACCAGTGCAATTTGGCTGCTTTCGAGGTCAATTGAAGTTCGGTGGAAAAATGTGTTGCTCAAGAAAGTTTGCAAGGCTTACCATTTTGAGCTAGTTAGTAAGAATGGTAAAGGACACCTTCTATACTTGTTGCTCCGCCTAAGGTTAAGATGGATTCACCTGTGGATTTTATTCTTTGAATAGAGAAAGTATATACTGTAAGACGCGAGAAAGCATGAAACCGAAATAGAATGAGGACCCCGGTGTGGTTTTTAGGAAGTATTACGTCGATGTTGATAAAAATGAAGTTTTCTTAACAAGATATGTGGTTAGGACTCAGATTCAAGGGAGTCATGTTCAAGGACAAGGAATGTAAAAGTGGTGATTCAAGACCAAAGAGTTTAAGGATTATTCTGTCTCCGACAAAGAGATTAAGATCAAAGCTTTGGGCATCATCAACATGCGTCAACATGTTGCTGGACAAGGAAGTCTGCAAATGTAATAGTTGTAATAAAAATACAACTCATCTGGCTAGAAAGATAATAAGGAAATATTGTGTCGGAAGAAGACATGGACAAGAGTTGGATAACTCATAGAAAGCCATAAAGGTTGGCATCTCATCATATGATAACATATGTTGGTCAATGTGTTTGTGGTGCAAAGGTTGTATGAAATCATGTAAGCGCAACAACGATGAAAGAATGATGGTAACGTGAGGGGATCCCAATTAAACAATAGAAATGAACAAAGTGGCGTGATGAGACCATGGTGTAAGCATGGCAAGGCATTATTCATTTGGATGTTCTACTGAATCGTAAATTGAGCAAGGAGTGCTTGTTAATTAATGTTAGTGCTATTTGAAATGAGGACTCATTTTTAGTTAGATAAATAAAGGCAAATGAACGTTTACAAATTTATGGATTAGGGATGATACTCCAAAGTTTGAATATCAGGATAAATAGATGAGTGAAAAATCTTGTTGGGAACGACATCTTTTACAGTGTGTTTACATGCAAAAGTTCTAGTAATGGAACCTAGGTAGGATCGATATCAGAATAATAAAGGTTAGTCAAAAAGCTCAAAGGTCGTGGGTTAAGACAATGAGACCATACTAGAGTACTAGTGGACAGTCAGGTTTGATTAGCTCCTAGAATGGAAATAGGAAGCTCTTTCTAAAAGTGGTCTTCAGATTTTTGATATTAAACAATGGCGCGTGTAACCAAGATGAGGTCATGGGTTGTAGGAATTTTTACTACATCGGGAATGTGGTTAGACTTGATGATCAGATTAAAAAAATATATATATATGGACTATGTATGTATGCGGAGGAAACGTAGGGGCATACAAGGAAAGACATATGAACCAAAATATCGAATAAGGGAGACCTGTCTTGAGACTCTTTAAGGACTACAGTGGAGTGAACGCGTGTCACAGATACTTCAAGAGTTGTCGAGGTATTACTTTCCAAAAATATGTAAAATGATGTGGAATGGAAGTAAGGAAAAATTTGAGATAGCATGACTGAGAGACGAAAATGTAAAAAGCAGACCCGGACTTATTCATATTCAAG